ACCACCATTCTATTGTCTGTTTCTATGAGTTTGTTTTTGTTTTTTATATTCCACATATGAGTAAAATCGTATGGTATTTGTCTTTCTCCGTCTGACTTATTTCACTTAGCATAATACCTCCAAGGTCCATCCATGTTGTTGCAAATGGCAAGATTTCATCTTTTTTTATGGCTGAGTAGTATTCCTCTGTGTGTGTGTGTGTGTGTGTGTGTGTGTGTGTGCGCGTGCGCGCGTGTGCTACATCTTCTTTATCCATTCATCCATTGATGGGCACTTAGGTTGTTTCCATATCTTGGCTATTGTAAATAATGCTTCAATCAACATAGGGGTGCATATTATCTTTTAAAATTAGTGTTTTCATGTTCTTCAAATAAATACCCAGAAGTGGAATATGTCGATCATATAGTAGATCTATTTTTAATTTTTTGAGGAATCTTCATACTATTTTCCATAGCGACTGCACCAATTTCCATTCCTACCAACAGTGTACAAGGGTTCTCTTTTCTCTACATCCTCTCCAACACTTGTTATTTCTTGTCTTTTTGATAATAGCCATTCTAATGGGCATAAGGTGATATTTCATTGTGGTGTGGATTTGCATTTCCCTAATAATTAATGGTGTTGAACATCTTTTCATGTGTCTGGTGGCCATCTGTATATCTTCTTTGGAAACATGTCTATTCAGATCCTCTGCCCATTTTTTAATCAGGTTGTTTGTTTTTTTGTTGTTGAGTTGTATGAGTTCTTTATATAGTTTGGATATTAACCCCTTGTTGGATGTATGATTTGCAAATATCTTCTCCCAATTGTTAGGTTGTCTTTTCATTTTGTTGATGGTTTCCTTTGCTGTGCAGAAGCTTTTTTGTTTGAAGTAGTCCCATTTGTTTATTTTTGCTTTTGTTTCCCTCGCTTGAGGAGACATATCCAAAAAGATATGGCTAAGACCAGTGTCAAAGTGTGTACTGCCTATAAGTTTTCTTCTAGGAGTTTTATGAGAACCAATATTTATTGCAAGTCAGCAACATGCTAGGAGGTACTGTGTAAGGTGTTCTTTGGTCATTTTGTACGTATTCCTCCATACAACCCTGTGAGATACATTATTAGCCCTATATTACAGTTGAAAACATCATACTTATATATTTGTACTGGCATATTTTATGGTGTGTTTCCTGTGTAATGCTGTGTGATTTGACCCTGGTCTAGGTTATCTGTTTCTAACTCATGTCTGGCTTCTCCTTGTGGAAGAGACTGTATAATTCAATGTAAACCTGTATATGTTTCATATAAATGTCTCACAAGGATGTTGTGTGAATCTGAGTCATTACTCAGATTCAGAAGTTGACTTTTTATGGTGCCTGGTGTTAAATAAGATTTTATTTTGAAATTAATCAAGGATTTAAATGCTATTAAAATTGAGCTTATAAATATGAATTTAAACAAAACAGGCAGTTATTTACTTATTTTGCTAAATTATCAATAAGACCAAAAAGTTTAAGTATATTAACTTTTCCTAAACAAGAATTAACAAAAAAACCCTGAAACTTAAAGCTCCAATTTTATACAAGTTCATGCTTTGTGCTGTGACTAGAGTTGTTTTTCTCCAACACTGATTTGATCATGCTGTTCTTCTGGCTAAAATCCTTTCAAGACTCCCTGTTGCTTATAGATTCAAGTTCAGACTCCACAGTTTGGTTGCAAACACTCTTTTCGGAGCATCACCTTTTGGTTCTCTCTTCCTTCACCCTTTGCCAGGAATACTCCTTTCCATTTTCCTTTTTTCTTCTTCTACACCCTTCAGTTGGGTTGTTACAGACCCTGAAAGACCCAGCTGGTGTCCTCTGCTCTTTGGAGCTTTCCATGACTCCCCTCTACACAGGGAATGCTTCTTTCCATTGTGTTTCTTTAACAGCTTTAATTGCATTTATTATTTTAATCCCTTTAAATTCTTGTTCTTTAGACTCTGAGCTCTTTTAGGCTAGAAATTGCCTTAATCTTATCTTTTTTTTTTTCTCACCACCTATCACAGTCTGTTCCATCCCTCTCTTCTTCCCTTTCCCCATTTTCTCTTTCTCCTTTCCTTCAACAAACATTTGAAGAATTACTACGTGCCTCCTCTGTTCAAGGAACACAGTGTTTGTTGAATGGGTGGAAAGAAATATGAAATCCTGGCCAAGAAGACATTACTAACAGTGTTATTAGTCTGTTATTTTAATCATTCTAAGCATGAAGATAATAGGCCCTGGCTGTTTGACATAGGAACAGCCTATCAATTTCACAAAGTTGTGGGGATGTCTGGATGAAAGTATTACAGGAAAACACAAGTGATAGTCATTTTGGTTTTATGTAATTTGGACTTAAATCATGTTCAGTATTGAAATCCATCCTTGGCTTTGCTTTGCCAGCAGAGACATGACTTCTCACAGTGTTGATCACAGCCATGGAAATAACCACATGCATATTTGTTTATCCAAAGTAACAGCTGATTTGGGCCAAATAGGGAAGAGTAATTTTATTATTGTTTGCCATTGGAGTTGGCATCAGGTAAAAATAGGTGTATGTTTGGAGTAGTATTTAGATGAAAATGTAGTGCTTCTAAAATATCTTTCTGAAGAATAATAAAAGTAGATAGTGTTTTTTTTTTATCATTATAGGATTTTATTTTACTGTCAAAATGTATACAAACAAAGGAGGAAAAAATATAGTTTTAAAGGGATCCTGCAATAGGAATATCCCTTTTGGAAGAAATGTGACAATTCCAAAGCAACATTTTGTCCCTGGCACACTATATTTCATCATTTTTAAGATGCACATTTATTTAGAATTTTACATCTCTGAAACTAGGGTGCTGTGTATTATTGAATCTAAGATGCCATTAATTATAAAATGCACCATTCTTTTATGTACACTAAGAGAGAAAAAGAAATGCTTTCAATTAAAATATACAATGGCACCAATGGAAAAAGTAGATAGTGTTTATAGAGCAAGTACCCTCTGCTAACAACTGAACAATCCTATGAGGTAGATGGTGGTATTCCCATTGATGGATGAAGAAACAAACGCTTAGAGAAGTCAAGTGACTTGTCTGAGATCGCACAGCTAGTTAAGCAGCAAAACTACGATTCAAGCCTAGGTTTGTCTGATTGAGACCATGCCCATTTCATTACGTTGCTGTCCTGACCTTAAATCCTCCTTCTCAGACTCATGTCCAAGTTGGAGAGAGTGAATTTATGTGGTAATTTGAATTTGAGATACCGAATTACTGAATTAATTGATCTTTGGCAAGTTAACTATTTTCATCCCATTTCTCGTATGGATAATACTGCCTGCCTTCCGGGATTATAATGAGGAATAAGTGAGATGATGTATGTAAAAATACATTGTGAACCATAAAGCCCTATACTAACGTTTGGTGGTATTATTAATGCTGTCATTAGTACATGATTTAACATACTAATTCTGCTTCCTGAGTATTTCTTTGCTGTTGCCCTTTTTAACTAAGCTGCTTAACAGCTTTTAACATACCATATGACTGCATTTCATTAATAAGAAAAGTTATTTCTTTAGGTGTAAAAAATTCAGGTCGTCTTAAGATAAAAGATATTAGAACAATACAGTTTTCAGTTTTTGAAGAACTAAGTGTGCTTAACTGTTTAAAACTTTCTTTCTCCTATTTCCTTCTACACCACAAATTCTCACTTTGTTTTTCTTTGAATTATATCCAGAGTTAAGGTTGAAACTTTATGATGGCTTATTTCCAATAATTGATATTTAATGGCTATATTCAGTACATTTGGTCAGAACTTCTTTTTTGAACCAAACGTTATATACCCACAGTGTTCACCACTGGAAAACTCCAGTTCTTCCGTGAATGCAGCTGGAGCTTGTGTTTAATGTGGTTTTTAACTAGAGATTGACTATGTCAATTGCTTCCACATGTGTATTGCTTTTTACATAAAGAAGATAACTGTTCCCTTTTCTTGAAATCCTTGATGCTTAGTGTGTAGTTTAAATCCTTGCCAAAAGGATGGTGCTGTTTCTTTTCTACTAGGTAAAAATTCAAGAGGATCAGGGTGTTTTATTGTAGTGGAAGAGTCAGTAGTAGCCCTATGGAATTGCATCAAACTTTCAAAACATGCTTTGTTTGTCTGACTGATATAAAATATTTAATAGCCTCTATTGAAATGGTAGATCTCATGATAAAAAGTTATGGAAGAGTCTTGAACTTAACAATATAATTGACTAGCCGATATAGATGAACACTTGAATTTTTTTTATTATACAATCATTATCTTTGATTTTTTTCAATTTTTTTGTTGGTACTGGTCGTAGCAATATGTATTTCCTTTTATGATAACCAACTTTATGGTGTGGCTTAATTTTGTTCCGAAACAGTAATGTTCTTTTCAAACTGCTGTATTAACCAGAAAGTAAAATAATATATCTTGTTAGTGGCCTCTTTTTAAACTAGCTAACCTATTGGCTTAAGCTGAAAAATGTATGCTGTTCCCCCTTAGAGGCACTGTGGCTTTGGAGTTAGATTTGGGTTCAGATTTCAACCCCACAACTTTTTTTTAAAGCATTGGGCAACAAGTTAACATATTTGCACCCCAGTTTCTTCTTCATCTCCAAAATGTGTGTGCAGATGCTTCTCTCCCAGTGCAGTTGGGAGAATCAGAGGAGCTAGTGTGTGAACACAGTTCCTAAATAACAAAGTGCTGTATGAATAATATTTTGACTCATTTATGGTAATTTGCAGAAAAAAAGAACTTAAGTACTTGATTTTTAAGAATATCTCTTCCACATAATAAAATTTTCAGTATTAGTAGTATATGTTTAAGAAAACATCCAGTGGTATAATAATATAAACTTTATAATTTTGAATACAAGATTGAGCGTCTTTTGTTAAACTCTTCTATACAGTGATGGCATGAATTGAACATTTTGTGTAATATATATATATATTTCTACACTCTAAATGATATAGGTGTGTGTTTTTATAGGTTTGCCTGAATCCATCATTGCGGCTGCATGTTCAAGAAGTGGCCAGAGGGTTCTGCATGTTGATTCGTAAGTTTATCAATGGTAGCATTTAATACTTCCTAAATATCTCTATACAAAATTAAAATTTAAATATACATGTGTGTATATATGTGTATATGTATGTCATATATAAATGTTTTTTTTTTTTTGTGAGGAGATCAGCCCTGTGCTAACATCTGCCAATCCGCCTCTTTTTTTTGCTGAGGAAGACTGGCCCTGGGCCAACATCCGTGCCCATCCTCCTCCACTCTATATGGGACGCCGCCACAGCATGGTTTGCCAAGCAGTGGGTCGGTGTGTGCCCGGGATCCGAACTGGCGAACCCCGGGCCGCCGCAGCAGAGCGCGCGCACCTTAACTGCTTGCGCCACCGGGCCGGCCCTAAACTTTTTAAGTTAAAAAATGATTAGAATTGTTTAATTTTCACCAGAAATATGTGAAATATATAACCTACAAGTTTTACTTTCATACTATGTGAAATAGTGGTTTCCTTTGAGAATAAGCCAATTATTATGTACCATAATTTTATTTTTCACATGAGTGATTTTGTTTTTTAAATGGTAAATAATTCTCCAAGAGGCTTGGAAACCTCACACCTGCCCTTTTTCTTATATGTATGTATGTGGCTGTGTACAACCTGTATGCTATTGTATTTTAGGCTTCATATTTGACTGTTGAAAAATTTAGTTAATAGATTTAGAGTATGTGGTTGTTTAAAAATTCATCAAAATTTAAACTGTTAGAAATTTTTTTCCAGTAACTTTATTGAGATTGTAATGGTTTATAACATTGTGTAATTTCAGGTGTACGTTATTATTTATCAATTTCTGAATAGACTTCATCATGCTCACCCCCAGTAATCTAATTATTGTCCATCACCGTACATATGTGTCCTTTACCCACCCCCCAACTCCCTTCCCCTCTGGTAACCACTAATCCCTTCTCTTTATCCATATATTTGTTTATCTTCCACATATAAGTGAAATCATGCAGTATTTGTCTTTGGCTTATTTCATGTAACATCATACCCTCAAGGTCCATCCATGGTGTTGCAAATAGGATGATTTTGTCTTTTTTTGTGACTGAGTAGTATTCCATTGTATATATATACCCCACATCTTCTTTATCCATTCATTTGCAGAAGGGCACTTGGGTTGCTTCCATGTCTTGGCTATTGTGAATAATGCTGCAATGAACATAGGGGTGCATAAATCTCTTTGGATCATTGATTTCAAGTTCTTTGGATAAATACCTAGTAGTAGGATAGCTGGATCGTATGGTATTTCTAGTTTTAATATTTTGAGAAATCTCCATAGTGTTTTCCATAGTGGCTGCACCAGTTTGCATTCCCACCAGCAGTGCATGAGGGTTCCCTTTTCTTCACATCCTCTCCAACATTTGTTGTTTTTTGTCTTGGTAATTATAGCCAGTCTGACTGGTGTATGGTGATATCTCATTGTAGTTTTGATTTGCATTTCCTTAATAATTAGTGATGTTGAACATTGTTTCCTGTGTCTGTTGGCCATCTGTATATCTTCTTTGGAAAAATGTCTGTTCATATCCTCTGCCCATTTTTTTGATTGGGTTGTTTGTTTTTTTGTTGTTGAATTGTCTGAGTTCTCTATATATTTTGGATATTTACCCCTTGTCGGATAAATGATTTGCAAATATTTTCTCCCAGTTGGTGGGTTGTCTTTTTGTTTTGTTCATGGTTTCCTTTGCTTCGCAGAAGCTTCTTAGTCTGATGTAGTCCCATTTGTTAACTTTTTCTTTTGTTTCCCTCCCCAAGTAGACATCTTTTCAAATACCGTGTCTACTCGGGCAAGGGAAACAAAAGAAAAATTTTAACTAAGAAAAATATCTAGAATTTTGTTTTCCCCCTTTTCTCCTAAATGTGATGATGAAAAAGAAGTTAATGGAAAAATCAAGTTTATGATAAAGCAGAGTTTAAATCTCTCCATTCCTGCTTCCTCCCAAAATATATGCCTAACTTTCCACCTATCTATTTAGTGCTTTTGACCATTGTATCTTGACACTTTAATTGTTCCTTAAATAGGAGTAAAAAAGAAACAAGAAATGGACTTTATATTTTCTGTTAGATATTAACTGCAGTGTTTTTCAGAATGCCAGAATACAAAGAATAACTAGATCTGTTATACCTTATAGTGCCTTCTAATATATTATCCTGTTGTAAATATGTAGGAATCCAAAAAGTGGTATTAGTTCACTTACATTTAACCGTTTCTAAATTTATTTTTTTATTTTTATTTATTATTATTTTTTTTTGTGAGGAAGATCAGCCCTGAGTTAACATCTGCCAATCCTCCTCTTTTGGGCTGAGGAAGACTGGCCCTGGGCTAACATCCATTCCCATCTTCCTCCACTTTATATGGGACGCCACCACAGCATGGCCTGACAAGTGGTGCATCGGTGCGCTACCGGGATCCGAACCGGCGAACCCCGGGCTGCCGCAGCAGAGTGCGTGCACTTAACCGCTTGCGCCACTAGGCCGGCCCCATCTAAATTTATTTTGAAAGCATATTAACTCCTCAGTTATTGGATGAAATTTCTAAATTAAATTAGGTTTAGTTTTCAAATAAGTCCTGCCCTTGGAATTCTCTTTCACTATTGTAACTGCTTGTGTTAATTAACGTCTTAATTCAGTCTTCTTGACATATCGTGGATTCACCTGCTGAAAAATCTGCCAACTTGAAAGCCCAGGTACTGGGCCAGCGTGCTTTAAGAGGCTTAATAAAAACATAAATTCAAATTTATTTCTGATAACATTATTTAACCTAAAATTGAAAACATAATCTTAAATTTCCCAAAGTTATTTGTTGTACTCTCATTATATGCTACTCACCATATCAATTTCTTTACACGTTATGCAATTTAATTCCTATTACAGCCAAGTGAGATAGGTGGTGTTATCCCAATTTAACAAATGGGGAATGTGAGTAATTTTTCTATCTTTACCCAGCTAGTGCATGTCTAACTTTAAATTCGAATTTATTTTGTGTTTTCTTATTCTAAAACCTGAGGTCTTCCCAAAATGAAGAATATTTTAGAAATCACAAAGGGTTTACTAATATTCAAAAATAAATTTTGATTAGGAATATAAGAAGCTAAATCTTATTTCAATAAATAGTGACTCAATTAGAAAGGCTTGATAATGTGGTTGCCTCAAGAACTTACAGCTTAATGAAAATAGTATTTCAAAGTGACAGAATTTTTTCTTCTGTTTTAGATCCTCAGGCTTGATAGCTTTTGAGAGTTTAGATACATCTAGGTGTTGATTTATAGTATATTTTCCTGCTGTGGGACAGGTTTAAATATTTTCTTGTTTTTATTCATTTTAGCATTTAGGGCTCTTCATAGTCAGATTTAATCTTCCTCAGCCCCATCCTTCATTTCTGCTTTACATGTAAAATAGTACCATATATCTCTGTTGCATGGACATATCTTCCCATGCTTTTATTAAAAATAGTTTGTAAACAGTGTTAAAAAAAAAAACATAAAATTTGCCATCTTAACCATTTTTAAGTGTAGGGTTCAGTAGTGTTAAGTATATTCATGTTGTGCAACGGATCTCCAGAACTCTTTTGATCTTGCAGAACTGAAATTCTATACCCATTAAACAATAACTCCCCATTCCTTCTCCCTCCAGCCCCTGGCAACCACCATTCTACTTTCTGTCTCCATGAACTTGACTACTCTAAATACCTCATATAATTGGAATCATACAATATTTGTCTTTTTGTGACTGTCTTATTTCATTCAGCATAATGTCTTCAAGTTTCATCTATTTTTTGTCATGTGTCAGAATTTCCTTTTTAAGACTGAATAATATTCAATTGTATGTATATACCACATCCATTCATCTGTTGATAAACGTTCAGGTTGCTTCTACCTCTTGACTATAGTGAATAATGCTGCTATGAACATGGATGTGCAAATATATCTTCGAGATCCTGCTTTCAATTCTTTTGGATATATACCCAGAATTGGGATTGCTAGATCATATGCTAATTCTATTTTTAGTTTTTTGAGGAACAGCCATACTATTTTCCATGGCGCCTGTACCGTTTTACATTCCTACCAACTTCCCATGCTTTGGCTCCACTGGGAAGTTGTGTATGGGCTTTTAAGCCAGAATGTCAGGGTTCAAATCATGGTCCCTCCACTTACTAGGCACGTAACCTTTGACAAGTTATTTAATCCTTCTATACCTCAGTTTCTTGATATAAAGGGCATAATAATAGGACTTAATTTATGAGATTGTTTATAGGATTAAATAAAATAATCTATGTAATGGATTTATAACAGTGCCTGAAATATAGTAAGCCCTCAGTGAATGTTAACTTCAAACAATACTGCTGCTGCTGTTGCTACTAGATCCATACAGTGAAACCAGAGAAAGGAGTGACTAATCATGCATGCCTGGGAGATCGGTGGAAAGTATCATAGAGATGACATTTGAGCTTAGTCTTGAAAGATGAGTAAGGGTTTATGAGGAGTTAGAGCATTCCAGAAAGAAGGAACAGATTGAAAGGGCATGACATGCTAGGTAAATGGTGAGAATTTTATGATTGAGAGATTGGCTAGGTGAGTTGGATTAGTGAGAGTTGAAACTAGAAGTAGATTGGAGCCATATTGTTAAGGCCTGTGTGCTGAGATAGGGAGTATTGATTTTATCTTTAATAACTATCTTTAACATCTTTATGTCTTTCCCTCAAACCCATCCATATTCAGTCCTTCAGCATACCCTGTCAGCTCTACTTCCAAAACATAAGTCAAATCTAACTTGTTTTCTCCATCTCTGCTCTTTCTTCCAGTTCATTCCACCATCATTTACCATTGAACTACTCCCAAAACCTCCTAATTGATCTCTCTGTCTTCACTGCTGCTCCCAGTATTTGGCCTATTCATCCTTTCTAACCGCATCACATATGCCTCTCTCCCTCTCGCTCTGCCCTGCTTTAGCTCTAATTATGGACTCCCTTTATTCTTAATATTTTTTGTGCCTTT